ATAGAAACGCGCAACCAGGACGGCCCCGTAAGGCCGTCCTGGGATCCCGTGAAGGCCCGCTGCACCATTGCGGAAGCCCAGAGGGTTGGCCTGAGAAGCCCGGGTCGTGACAGCCCCTAGATACGTGCGTCGTAGTTTGGCCCGTAGACACGCGAACGGCGACGTAGGTCACGGCGGTGTAGGTTTTGGTACTGTGGGAACGCGTGGCTCGTGCTTTCCTGCAATTCGCTGTGTCGTTTTCGTTCGACTCGTTCGCATGTTGGAGTGCAGGAAGATGTGGTTCGTGATTTTCTAGTATTTAATTCCCAACACCACCGTTAAGCAACATCGCCGTTAGCGCGGCCTCGGTTGGTTCTACGCACGTGCAAAAATGCTCGGGAGGTCTCCGAGATCGCCACCAGGCGGCCGCAGGGGCCCCCGCGAAAGCTCCACCGGGAGCCTCGAAGGGGCAATTCGCAAGGGCCTCTGGGGCCCTTCCCCGAACTGCCCCCTCCCCAGACCTCCACCCGCCCCCTGAGAGGCGCCCCCCTAAACGTCCCAATAACCCACAAGAAATTCCCTCGAGCTCATACGTGAGCTTCCGGGAAACCCTTTGCCATCAACCGAAGCACGATGGCGGAAGGACATCCGTCCAATAGGGGGCGGGCGACGCGACTCGAGGGAGCCCGTACCGACGTGGGACTCCGTACGCCCATACCTGGCGCGACGGGCCAACCGCCGAGAGGGGGAGAAGCTTGGAGGGGGCCCACGGCAAGCCCAGAACGCACCATCCCATCGGCCGCTCCAGCCTCAGACCAACCCCCAGACCTGAACCTGCACTCACATCGGCCCTCGTCGGATCCCGACTGCGCGTTCATACGGACAGAATCTATGGATCACAGCGCGCGCCTGTCTCAGACCCACCTCGCTCGCAAGGCCCACAGGCCCATAACCCGACGCCAGACCGCGGGAGATGATGCGACCGCGTCGCTCGTTGACGGTTGCGCGGGCGCGAGGTCAAACGGTAGCTCTGTGTTCAGTCGGCGCACGGTGGTAAATAAGCAAGGCGGAAACGTATCTTCGGTTCCAATCATATCCATCGGTTGGAAGAACTAGGTAAAAACATAACGTAGGAAAGCGCTACAAATAGATTGGGTGTCCGCCCGCCCCCTAAAAGAGGACGGAAACAGGTGAAGCCACTCGATCATTGAAGACTGAAGGCGGCTAAAGCAGATTGGAATCTGGGACTCCAGAAATACAGAGCCTCAACGACCGATGGATCCACCATCGCGCCTCTGCCGCAGCAGTCCCTGCGATTCCTGCCGAAGCGCGTGCGGCCCACGATCGTAGCGCGCCTCGACCGCGGCACCCCCTGCGATGCCACGCGGGTGCGAGGGGGTCGGCGGAGGAGGAGGAGGAGGAGGAGGAGGAGGAGGAGGAGGAGGAGGAGGAGGAGGAGGCGGAGGAGGAGGAGGAGGAGGACGTCTGGGTGCCCAGGGCCATTTTGGGGACCCCGAGACTCCCACCTCCGAGGCGGGCAGAGTGGGCCCAACCTCGGGGGCGCGCAAACGCGGATTATAGCGGTCCACGGGTGGTTTGGAGCGCCACCTCCCTAACATGCGGCCCATGCCGCCTCGCTCGGCGGCGGAAATTCGCGATGTCCCACGGAAACGGGACCCGTCGCTAATCCACGTCCCCTTAATCCATGCTTGCGATGGCCTGAAAGTGGGCTCAACCGAGACGTGGGCCCCGGCCCGGCCCCCGCGACACACGCAACGTTTGTTCCCATCACTTTGCGCCGATGGCCCACTCTGTAAGAGCAGTCTTTTGAAGGCAAAATCTGCCTTCAAAAAACGTTTTTTTGAAAACAGATCTGCCTTCCAAAAGGCGTTCTTACAGCGTAGACCAATACTTCCTCCCTGCGGGCGCCGCGACTCCCAAATTGTACTCGGGTGGCTTGAAGGCGCGGTCTACATCCGCCAACCACCCCACGGGCGACCTTCGTGCAACGAGCCGTCAGATCTGGTTGGCGCCAGTGCTACGGTGGCGACGTGAAGAACTGACTGAACTACTTGATCATGCCCCTCCACTCTGTGCCTTTCCCCCGCGGCGCCCCGCCACACCCGTTTGCTGCCCTCTGCGGACCATGCTACTGCAAGTTCGTGTCGTGTCGACCCTGGCGTTGGTCCCCGACACCGCGCTGGATCGTTCAACCTTGAACGATCGGCCGTTTCCGAAACGTCCGATCGTTCAACATCGATCGATTCTGGGTCGCCGGCGGCGTTCAACCTTGAACGTCCGCGCTGGGGTCGCCGCTGGTCGACACGACGCAAACCTACCGTACGATATCTGGCTCCCGCGGCCCTTTCCGTAAAGCAGAATAGATTCGCGCACAGGGAGGGCCACGGGCCACTCCCCCTTGTGGATGACTCGAACGCGCCCCCCCAAGGCCACGATATCGTACAACTTGCGCGAGGTCCGCGCTCCCAAGGCCACGACCTTGTGCAATTTACGAATAACCATGTTCCTAGAGCAACGATCCCTTGGAGAATGCGCCGGATCCGCGCCCACAAGGCATGCTCTAGAAAATGCGCGGCACCAACGCCCCCCGCGTCCCGAAGAGAATAAAGGATACGGGAATATGCAGGCGGACTAGGAATGCGAACAATACGATTTGTGAATTGACGTGCCGAACGGCACACCGTTGCTGCTAAAACGCGCGTCAACTTCGCGCCGAGCCGCCGTAGCACTAACAATACCACCAATGTTTGGAGGCAATAGCGTGGGGTCTCAATACGCAAGGGGTGCAGTAGGGGCCCGGCCACATGACACCTTTGATACGAAAACCAATTTTGAGATGTCAAGATGTTCATGGATTTTTTTGCCGTGGTAGCGTCGCGCACTCCGTCGCAAAACCATCGAAACCCAAGAAACCCAGGGCACCCTGGATGCAAGCGGGGTGTTTCTTGGCATGGGTCTGGGCTGTATCTTCAAAACCTTCACGGCCACGTGGACGAACTGCCCCCGACCCACGTAGTATTGGCAAGCGCCTCGAGCGCTTGCACCCTCCACCCCAAACTTCGCTCGTGAGGCAATCATCAGCTGGTGTGAAAACAAACATGTGCGACGCCAAGACCTCCGCGATCCATTGTCTCGCCCTGGCCCGATGACGGGCCCGAGAAGCCCAACTCGAGGACACGCCCCTGGATTGAACAAATCATATCGTCGGAGATCCGGGTACCGCCTGGTGTGAAACACATATATGCAACGCCAGAACCTCAGCGTCTGGGCGCGGATCCGCCCGCGGGGTCCGAGCAAATGGGGTCGGAGGATCACGCCGACGTGGCCGATGTATCGCTGATGCATCGGCGACGTCGGCGTGGAGAAGATCAGGCCCCCCCCCGAAGGCCAACTACCGTGGTGTCAACTCGCCCTCCTCTGCGTCTGGGAGGCCTGGGCCTGGGAGGCCCAGACTATTGCATCGCCCTTGCTGCAAAGCCAATGGCGACGAAGAGAAACGGGTCTTACGCGAGATGGCATGGCGACCTCACGCGGCGGCTTCTGCGTGCCGTCGGCGCGGCACGGAACATTGGGAACGAGGGTGCCTACGCGCGACCTTACGCGCCAGTCTCGCTGAAGACGACTCCCATGTTTCCACCTCGCTCACAGAATCGCGCGGTGTGAAACAGCAGGGATCTCCGATGCCAGGATTAGGTCGGGCATGTCCCCCTAGAGGCGGATGTTGGGCGAAACTGGGAAATAGTCAAAACATTGTCAAACATAGTAAAAAATAGCCGAAACATCGTCCGCAGACCATACTTTGACAATTTTCGAATACTCTTCCTGTAGAGGGACACGCCCACAGGGCATAAAATTCACTCCCATAATAATCACCCCGACACGCGAGGCCGCTTAGTAATCGCACCCAAATAAGGAATCAAACAGAGCAGGGCTGTTCAGCAAACGCCCAAGGCCGTTCAGTATAAACGCCAATCGCCAGGTCCTGGTGTTTTTTCCGCCTTTTGACTTTTCCCGCCTCGCTCACAGAATCGCGCGAGCAGGGATCTCCCGATGCCAGGATTAGGTCGGGCACGTCCCCGTACAGGCGAAGGATTTCGGGCGAACATACACTACTTGCAAAACATTCCTTGCAATACCTTACTTGCAATACAATTCTCTGGCGCAATACATTTGCTGTGCAATTGCCCCAAATCTATTGCACCACCCCCTTTCAGGACCCCCTTTTGGTCGGCAGTGGACACACCTCCATTTAGTAAACTTCCCTTTCGTGAAAACGGCCCAAGACCGAAACCGACGGACCTGGACCCGCAACAACGACGGCCGCGACGCCCTCTCGCGAACCGAACACGGCCAATTCGCGAATCGACGCGTCAGGGTAATTAGGAGGTCTACCAACCTCCGACTTGGGTGTGCTCGAGTTCGGGAGCGGCCAAGAGGGGGCGTGTCCAAGAGGGGGGGGGTGCAAATCAGGGCCGGCGGCATGTGCGCGGCGCGGCCCAGCGGGGGGGGGGGGGGCCAGGGACGCAACGAAAGACGAGGAGGCGCCACGAAGTCTGCGGAAAGGTCGTGGCCCACGCCACGAAATCCTCCCCCCCCCCCCCTGACCGCCACCCCCACCCTTTTTGACTACCTACCAGACCACCCCAACCCAACCCGAAGACCCGAATTTCGGGTTGGGGGGGGTATGGGCTCCATATGTGTTTTTTCGATGTTCCCAGACCCCCCCCCACTAGAAATGGAGGGTAAATCCGAGCCTTCGGGTTGGGTTGGGGTGGTTTGGTGGGTGGTGACTTTTCGCCGCCCCCGAGGCGTGGGACAGCAGGGCTCTCCCGAGGCCGGGACCTCGGCGCCCGGATGCCACCTCTCCGCGCCGCCCCGCGCCTCGGCGGGTGCCCTGCAGCAGGAGCGAGGGAGGGAGGGAGGGAGGGAGGGAGGGAGGGAGGGAGGGAGGGAGGGGGAGGGAGGGAGGGGAGAGAGGAGGAGGAGGAGGAGGAGGAGGAGGAGGAGGAGGAGGAGGAGGAGGAGGAGGAGGAGGAGGAGGAGGAGGAGGAGGGGGAGGAGGAGGAGGAGGAGGAGGAGCAGGGCCCCCCCCCCCACAGCTCCCAGGGCGGGCTCGGCGGGCGGGCGGGGCGGGGGGGCCGGAGGGGGGGGAGGCTCGGGGAGGCGAGGGGAGGGGCGGGCGGGCGGGCGGGGCGGCCACGTCTCCCACGGCGGGCGGGCCGGAGGGGGGAGGAGGGGGGGGGGGGGGAGAGAGGGGGGGAGGAGGAGGCAGGGAGGGAGGGAGAGGCAGGGAGGAGGGATGGGGGAGAGGGACGAGGGAGGGGAGGAGGGAGGGGGGGGGGGGGGGGGGGGAAAGGAGGGGAGAGGGGAGAGGAGGAAGGAGAGGGAGCGAGGGAGGGGGGAGGGGTTTTGTTGACATCGGCGCACGTGCCAGAGACGGCGCCTCCTCCCTGAGGGGTGGCTATCGCCACAGGCAGACACTGGCCAGAGAAAAGCACTGGGGTGGCGCGCGAGGTCCGCGACACTGCATTTTACGCCACCGTGAGCGGATAGACGGTGGATGTCGCAACTGTCAATGGGGGAGCTCACGCCAGAGAGGGGCAGAAGGACACAGGCGGCGACCGGGCGAAAGCCAAAACTTGCACCCAGTGAGCATCGTTTAACCAATCCCTATCCCCACTGGCGCAGCCTGGGTCCCACTGGCCGATTTACCCCACTAGGTGGGGATATCGGCTGTTTCCTTTGGGTCTCGAGGGGTACAACTGGGGTGGTGGGATGGTGGGGCTCAGGACGGGGATAGGGATGGGGATAGGGATAGGTCAAGCGATACTAACCCAATCCCTCGGCGCCGCGAAAACCACAGTCGACTACAAGGCCCCACCCGTCTCCTGAGGCACACGCGCGCTGGGGTGCCGCTCGAGGCCTGCTTCACCCCCTGCCACTTTCGCCATCCAGGAGCGCCAGGAGACGGGGGGAACAACAACAGAAATCCTGACTGGGCACGTCGGGGACGTACTGACCAGGGCAACCCCAAGCCCGGGTCAGTCAGGCCCTGTACGATCCTGCAGGATCCTGCACCCAAGCCCGGGTCAGTGCAGGAGGAGGAGGAGGAGGAGGAGGAGGAGGAGGAGGAGGAGGAGGAGGAGGAGGAGGAGGAGGAGGAGGAGGAGGAGGACCCCTGGCCTTGCAGGGCCCTGCGAGATCCCGCGCTCTGGCGGACCCCTACCTGCTCTGACCCCAGTCTCTGGAGCCCCGAGCGCGGCGCCGAGTGCCGCCGCCAAAAAGGGCGGAGGACGGGGGGAGAGGCCGAGCCTCAAGTCGGGCCTGTCCCTCTCTCTATAGGGGGAATATTCCAAAATAGGTAGAAATAGCCTGGGACGATTTTTTGAATATTTGTTTGACCATTCTTGACAATGTTGCTAATTCTTTGACCATGTTTGACAATCTTTTGACGATCTTTTGACAATCGTTTAACGATATGTTGGTCATTTATTGTTTTTGGATAACATTTGACAATATTTTTGGCATTATGGGGGTCTTTTTTGGTATGATATTTGTCAAGAATTTGACATTTTGGGGGTCTTTGGACTATTTGTGATAATATGTTGACCATTTTTGATAATATTTTTGACAACTTTTTGACCATTCGGTGCTCTTGACCCCGGGCGCGCACGGCAGCCCACAAGCGCGACGAGCCCGAGGCCCCCCTGGGGGCTTCGGGAGTCCCGCCGTCGCCGTGCCGCGACCTCTGCTGCGGCCACTCGCCCCACTCGCACTTCTCGGGAGGCTTGGCCAGCGCGAGCGCCTCCGAACGCGAAACTCGGGTCGGGCGAAAGGGGGGGATAGCAAAGGGGGGGTTTGAGAATCAGCTCACGTAGCTGATTTTCCAGGCGCCTCCCGGCGCCGGAGGCGGCTATGTATCGAGGAATGGACCCCTCGGTGGGGCCGAAACCAGCTGCATGCAGCAAATTTCGTAACACCCCTTTCCCAATCCACGCTTTCGTCCGGCCCGAGAAACATGAGCAAAGGCATGCATGGCCATGCAACCAGGGGATGCCATTGTCCTGTCAAGAAAAGAAAGGGTCGCATTCATCATCATGGAGGTGCTGGTGTTGGGCAGGCCCGGCCACTCCTCGAAGTCCGTCGGCCTCTCGAGCGGCCTACCCGCGCGATGCCTTCTAATGGTGCGCCTCCGCAGTGGAGAGCTTGTCAGAGCACGCCTTGGCCCTGGCCCGCTGAATAACGAACTCCTCAGCCAGCCGTCAATACTGTGTACAGGCCTTGTCCGTGCGATCACGCCAAGGCCGTAGTTCTCGAAATGTGCGACTGACTGGTTGGTTGAGCGGAAGGTCGGCAGGAACGAACACGAGCTTCTTGGTTTCAATGGTGGCGCGATGCTTTTGGTAGACTCCATGTCACCAGTTCTCCAGCATAGTGACCAGCTGCTCCAATTCGCTGATCGACAGCCCTGTGCTCCCGTCGACTCGAGACTGCCCAAAAAGGTTGTTGGAACTGGGGGCTTGCGCGGAGAGGAAAACCCTGTCCCCGACTAGCACAATCACCGGGGTCCTGGCGCTGTGCTTGTCCTGGCGAACTCCACTGCCTGATTCCTCTCCACTAGCCCGCAGAGGGGGTGCGGAGCAGAGTGTGGTTCGCCAGGAAGAGAAGGCCGATTGGACCTGCATTGTTTGCAAAAGCACCAACTTGCTTTGTTCTTCTTGCGCCCGCACTCGAGGCACATCCACTGGGGCCCCGTCCCCCGCCGATGCCACGGGGCCCAATCGCCAGACGCAGCGGGAGGAGGAGGAGAAGGAGGAGGATGAGGAGGAGGTGGCGCCATGACTGCGGACTGCGGGAAATGATCCATGCTTTCGCCACAGGAACTGCGGCCCTTCAGGTAGCACACAGAGTGGTACAGCACGGGGAAAGACTGGCAAGGGGAAGCTTGAGCCAGAGCGAGCTTGAATGAGGAGGCGGAGGCGGAGGCGGCGGGGGAGGCAGAGGAGGCTGAGGCGGAGGAGGCGGCGGACGAAAATTCCACTCAACCACGGGCAACTGGCGGATCACGGCCGTCACTGGGCGTCCGAACTGCCGCTCAGCGTGGGTGCCGTGCTTCCCGTGCTGGCCTAGAAAGCCTTCCGAGTGAGGTGGTCCACACCGTCCCACTCGGGACCTCGGGGGGGGAGTCGCCGCCATCCAGCCTCCCGTCGTCCTCCAGCCTTCCTCCAGCCAATCTCCTCGCTCCTCCCTCCCTCCTCACTGCCCCCTCCTGCCTCTCAGGCCCCTCTTCCTCCTTCTTTTGCCGTTGCAGTCGTGATCGGCGAAACCCAGTCGACGAGAAAGGCGCCGAGAAAGAGAAAAGGCGGCCAAGCCCGCCACCAGTCGGCTGCTCAAACGAGGGGCCGGGGCGTACATCATGTAACGCCGCGGGGCCAGGGCAGTATGTCCCCATTTCCGAACGATGGCACGTTGCTTGGCCTTGGGATGGGCTCAAGGCTGGAGCAAGGCGGGCGGAGCCCGATTGAATTGCGGTCCTCCTCTTCCTCCCTCCGCTCCTCTTCTTCCTCCTCCTCCTCCTCTTCCTTCTCTCCGTCGTTCCTCCTCCTCGATGCTCGATGCTGCGAACTGGTCGATCCAGACGGACTGGAGTCCTCGGGTCACCTCCTCCTCCTTGTCCTCCTCCTCCTCCTCCTCCTCCGCTCTTCTGGAACGTCTCCCTCCCCTCCTCCTCCTCCTCCTCCTCCTCCTCCTCCTCCTCCTCCTCCTCCTCCTCCTCCTACGGAACTGCGTCCCGAGCGAAAGCCACAGAACACAACTCTCCTCCTTCTCCTTCTCCTCGAGGACCGGGCGGCGCGCCGATGAACCTCTCGCAGCGCTGGCTCAGCAGCTGGCTGGGCCCGTCCCGGGGGAGCCCCGCGCGGGCGAGGGCCCCGCCCACCTCCCGGAAGGCGTCCCTCGCCCGGGCGAAGTCCTGGCACTGGTAGCTCCGGAAGGCCTCCTGGTGCCTCGCGCACGCCTCGAAGATCGCGGACGACTCCGGCGTCCTGGGTTTCGGTCGGGCGTGGCCTCCTACAGGGAGATATTTTGGGCGAAAGCTATAGAGCAGAGTCGAACAGTGCCTGAAAGTAGGCAGCAAGAGTCGAAACATAGTCCCCGGATTATTTTTCGACTGTCTTTGAATATTCCTCCTGCAGGGGGACAGGCCAGGCTTAGTCCTGATGGCCGGGGTGGTCATCAGCTCGTAGACCGTGGTGGGCTCCGTCTTCCCCTTCACGGCCACAACGTCCACAGGGCGGAACGCGAAGTCGACCCTCCTGAGCCTGTCGCCGCTGCCGACCAGCACGTCTGTGGCCAGCGTGCGTGTGTTGTATCGCGAGTTCAGAGCCTTCAGCCGAGCAGCCAAATTGACCCCGTCGCCGAGGAGGCCGTACTTAATGCGCTTCTTCGACCCTATGTTGCCCGCCAAAATGTCTGCCGTGTGCACCCCGCACCGGCACCGGATATTGATCTCTTTTCCCGTGCGGTAGGAGACGCAACCCCTGCGCATGTTCTCGCCGTCAAGGACCCGGTGGATGTCTCTGCACGCCAAGGCGCCTGCCAGTGAATGGTGCGCCAGGGGGTTCGGCGCGTTGAAGACTGCGAGCACCTCGTCGCCGATGAATTCGAGCAGCGTTCCGTTGTGCATCTGTATCACTTCCGCCACCTCTAGACGTGTAACAATCTGCATATACATATGCTGTCATATGTCCGCGCGTAGTCCTTGGATCTGCGCTGGACCCTCCTGGTGCATGGTGCCGCATGGGGGGCCCAGCGCCGATCCAAAAACTCAGCGCGGAACTCCGAAGGCTTATGCCCATGTCCCCCCCTGGTCGGGCCTGGTTCAGCACCCGCCCGAGGAGCGCGATCACCTCCGTGGGCCCAAGGCTGTTGCAAGTTTCCTCGAAGCCGTGGATGTCCAGGCAAGGCCAAAGGGGGTCGCCACTAAGGTGGTCGCCACCTCCTCGAAGAAACGGCCCTCCCCGGACAAGACAAATCCGGATCTCAACTGGACGGTGCAACTCCCAACCAAACGGTCCAGATCCCAGCCGGCAATAAAACCTGGACGGTCCAGGTCGCAACCACTCTTGTTTAGATTTGTACATCGGTCTATAGCGCTCACTTATATCGTGCTCACATTCAAATTGAAATCCAGAGGGGGCCGCACATGCATGCACATGCCACACAGTCGAATGCACATGCCCATGCAACTCCACAAAAGCCTCAACAGCACTGCCGCACATGCGCGCACATGCCGCACAGTCCGATGCAGTCGGATGCACAGTCTGGCATCACTCAGAAAACATCAAACGCACATGCGCGCACATGCCGCAGACTCGAATAATCGGAGGGGGGAGGGACAAATGAGCAGGACAGAGGAATGAGGTGAGAAGCGAGGGTAACGAAGGAAGCTAATGCGGCTGGCACTCAAACTGAAACACCATACCCGCATAAGAGATGCGGCATTATATACCACCAATCCAACATAAGGATGGGGTCAGCGCTCCAGTAATGTAGATCACGCGAGGATGTCTCAGGCGAAAAGGGCCTGACCACCTGAGCGCAAGGCATCTCGGAACCCAGAGTTGTGAGGACGTCTCAGGCGAAAGTGGCTGGACCACCGTAGGGCAGGCATCTCCGAGGCCAGTGCGCACAATAGGACATTCATCCAAAAGCGCTCGCACATGCTGGGCACATGCCTGGCACATGCTGCGCACATGCCCGTGCAAAAACGGCCGCACATACACACACCCACCCAGGGGTATAGAAGGTGTAAGCGCTTGCAAGGCGCTGCGTCGTCGCTTCCTGAAAACGCCTCTTCGGCTTCGTGAAAGATTCCCGTTGGTTCCTCCACGGTTTCTTGATGGAGTTCAGAAGATTCCCGGGGATTCATCGCAACATTTCCTGAAGGATTCCTTTGGAACCCGTGAGGATTCCAAACGGACTCCTCAAAATTCCTGAAGGATTCCTCAAGAATTCCAAGCGGTTTCTCGAAGGATTCCTAGAGAATTCTGAAGATCCCCGAACACATCCTGGAGGATTCCCGGTGATTCCCGGGGTGTCCTGAAGGATTCCTAAAAGGATTCCTTTGGAATTCCTGAGGGTCCCCGGGAATTGCTGACGCTTCGCGAATCCCCACCAGCCCATCCAGAAACGATGCCCAGAGGAATTGCCTCGATCAGGGAAGCGGGCTGCACACAGAGGGAGGGTCCCCCAGTGGAGGCTTCTTGGAGCGTCTTGGGGGCCTCTTGGCGGTCCCGGACGCCTCTTAGAGCGTCTTGGGTACCTCGGAGAGCTTCTTGGGGCCTCTTGGGGGTCTCTTGGGAGCCTCTTGGAGGCCTCTTAGGCGCCTGTTGGGGCCTCCTGGGGCCGCCCGGACGCCTTTTGGGGCCCTCTTGAAACGCTCTTGGGAGCTCTGGGAGCGCTCTTGGGGCCCTCTTGGGCCATCTTGAGGCCTCGGCGAGAAAGTCAAAAACATTGATTTTCCCAAGGTTTGGAAGGATTTTGGTCTCTTCGGGGCCTCCTGGGGGAGCTCTTTGGCCACTAGGAGCCGTCTTGGAGTGGTCTTGGGGCCTCTTGGGGCATCGTGGGCGCCATCTTGAGGCATCTTGGGATATGTTGAGCCATCTTGGAGATCATCTTTGGCTCCCCCATGCGCTTTTGGAGTCATTTGAAGCAGTGCCCCCCCCCAGGAGGCCAAAATGTGGCCAGAAACTTAGTAACATCAGCGATTTTGGCATTGTCGCCGAGACCTCTTGGAGCGTCTTGGGTGCCTCTGGGGGCCTCTTGGTGCCTCGTGGAGTCTCTTGGGGGTCTCTTGGGAGCCTCTCGGGGGCATCCTGGGGGCTTCTTGGGGGCCTCCTGGCCACCTCTTGGGGCAACCTTGGGAGCCTTGGGAGCGCTTTTGGGGCCATCTCGGAGGAGATCGATCAAAAAAGAGGGGGGGGGGGGGGTACGGATTACAGCCGCCCCCCCAGAAGGACAACATGGGACCAACACCCTGATAACATCAATGGTTTTGGCTTCCTCGCCGAGGCCGTTTTGGACGATCCGACGACTCGCGACCCCCCCCCCGTCCAGGTCCAGGGGAGGGGGTAGGGGGAGGGGTAAATCCCTCCCCGAAGGGGAAGAAGGAGGGGTGGACGAGGAAACTCCCTAAACCACCGACGCCCAGAGGGCTGGTGGGATTCCTGGAGGATCCCTGCGGATTCCTGAAGGAGTCATGGAGGATTCCGAAGGATTCCTGACGGGCTCCAAAGGATTCCTGCGAGGTCCCTGAGGATTCCTGCGGGAGTCCAGAAGTTTCCTCAACTTTCCTGAATGATTCCCGAGGGTGCCTGGGCATTCCTCGAAGGCTCCTGACGACGTCCAGAGGAAAAGGCGAGGAATGCTGTCACGTGTGACTGGCTGCTGGTAGGGATTTTTTGACTCAATTGGCTCGATCGGTTTTCGACGGTCTTCGATGGCACATTCGCATCTGCATCCATCCCAATCATCACCATCGGCATCATCATCGCCTCCTCTTCCTCACATTACCGTCGCCCATCATCGTCGTCACCATCATCATCATCATCCGAGATCACCAGAGGAGCGCCTGCCTTCGGCGGCGGACGTGGTAAGTTGCGAATCGTCCGCAATTCATGCATTTCCAGCTGGGCCAGCGTCGCATCGGGCTTATTCGGTGAGGTCACCGCTCGCAAGATCGGCCCGAGGTGCCTCTGCCAGCACCGCCGTCAGGTCAGGGAGACGCACTGGGATCTCGGCAGGGTGCTGGGCCACGGCCCAATTGACCGCTCGGGAGAAATCGGCCGGTCCAGGCGTGGCGTTCATCTCGCGTGTCGCATTCAGAAGCGCGCCGGGGCGGATCGCGGCGCCGATCTGCGGCCCGCCGTCGGCTGATGCAGCTTCAGCGCGGCCCCGTGCTCTTGCGGCGGCTGGGTCGAAGGTGTGCGGCGCGCGTCGCGGCGGCGCACCTCGTGGGCCAATGTGCGCGCGGGCTCCCCGCGTGGAAGGACCCCGGCTCTCGTGCGAGGTCGACGTCGTTCCCGCTCCTCCGCGCGTCTGCGTGCCAGCCGTCGTCCCGGTGCCCCGGCTTCGTGGCCTGCGCCGACGCGCGCGCGCGCGAGCGCGCTCTCGTCGACCCCCTCTGCCTGGAGGGGCTTCCCGTTGGCTGCGAAAAGGGGCCTCGGGAACTTTCGTCCCGAGCGACCGCTTCCCGCGTTTGTTGCGTCAGCTGTTCCAGCTGAGGTCGCCGCGTCTTCCGCGCCGCCCGCGCGACGGCGGCGAAGCGCTTCGGCAGGATCGGACGCAAGTGCGCGTCGGTGCTCAGGCTGCGGCACGTCGGAGGGGTTCTTCATCCACGATGCCCACGCGTGCAGCTTTGAGAGCCTCCGCTGCCTCCGCAGAGCTCGGCTTGGACGGGCGAACCTGGCGGTTCGAACAGAAATCCTGTTCGAGCCTGTCGGTTCGAGACATGTTCGAACGACCGGATAACTCGACTTGAATTCAGACCGCGCTCGAATCTGGCGGTTCGAACAGGAATCCGTTTCGGAACTGGCGGTTCGAACGAGATTGGAACCGCCACGTTCGAACGGACATCCTGTCCGAACCTGGCGGTTCGAACAACGTTCCTGTTCGAACTCGACTATGGTTCGGACCGCGCTCGAACCTTGCGGTTCGAACAGGATTTCTGTTTGAATCGCCTGGTTCCAGTCGGTTCGAACCCGCTTCGAAATCAAGCCACGCTCGAACCTGGCCGCTCGAACAGGAATTCTGTTCGAACATGGCGGTTCGAGCTGAATTCCTGTTCGAAGCCGGCGGTTCCAACGAATTTTCTGTTCGAACCGCCATGTTCGAGTTTGTTCGAATTCGATCTGAAATCGAACCGCGCTCGGACCTGGCGGTTCGAACAGGAATCCTGTTCGAACGCGAACCTGGCGGTTGGAACGAGGATCCTGTTCGAACCGCCAAGTTCGAACGGGTTCAAAGTCGATTTGACTTCGAACCGCGCTCGAATCTGCCAGTTCGAACATAAATCCTGTTCGAGCCTGACGGTTCCAATCGTTTCCAATCGGTTCCAACCCGATTCGAATTCAAACCGCGATCTGACTTGGCAATTCGAACGCGAGTTCTGTTCGAACCGCCAAGCTCGAATCGGTTCGAACTCGAGGTTCGAACGATTTTTTTGTTCGAACCGCCAAATTGGAACGCGGTTCGAACTCGATTTGAGTTCGAACCGCGCTCGAACCAACCGGTCAAACAAAAATCCGGTTCGAACTCGATTTGAAATCGAACCGCGCTCGAACCTGGCGGTTCGAGCAGAAATCCTGTTCGAAATTGGCGGTCCGAAATCAATTTGAGTTCGAACCGCGCCCGAACCTGGCGTTTCCAACAAAAATCTTGTTCGAACCTGGCGGTTCGAATCGGTTCGAACTCGATTTCAAATCGAACCGCGCCCGAGCCTGGCGGTTCGAGCAGGAATCCTGTTCGAACCGCCGGGTTCGATCAGGCATCACGTTCGAAAATGGCGCTTCGAACTCGAATCACGTTCGAACCGCCAAGTTCAAACGCAATTTGCGTTCGAACTTGGCCTCCGCCTCCTCCTCCTCCTCCTCTTCGGGCCCTCGCCACCCGAGGCTCGACTTGGAATTCCACAGAGGGCCGCACTAGGCGGGTCCGCACGGTGACGCCGCGCCCCTTTCGGGGCACCCCTGACGCGGCCCGTGTCCGTGGCCCCACAGGGAATTTGACCGAGAGCCCCTGTGGGAAGGTCCGCGTTTGGCCGCCGCACCCGTTTCGGCACACCTTCACACGGTTCGTGGCCCGACATGGAGCTCCACCGAAAGCCCCAGTGCGAGTCCCCACGGCGCGGTCGCCCAAATTTCGGCACGCACCCCTGTGAGCTGGACCTCCTGGCTCCCTGGGGAGGTCGTTGTTGTCGACTTCGTCGTCGCGGTGATCGTCGTCCTCGTGATCGTCGTCGTCGTCGTCGTCGTGCTCGTGGTCCTCGTCGTCGTCGTGGTCGTCGTCGTGGCCGTTGACGCAGTCGTCGTCCTGGTTATGGATGTGGTCGTTGTGGTGCGTGTGGTCGTGGTCACAGTTGTCGTGGTGATCGTAGTCGTCGTAGTCGTGGTCGCCATCGCCATGGTGGTCGTTGTCGTCGTCGTGTTCGTCGTCGTGGCCGTGGTCGTCGTCGTCATCGTCGTGGCCGTGGTCGTCGCGCTACCACCTGCGCGAATGTCGCCGCGTTCGGGGGCCACTGGGGGTCCAGTGGAGTGGCGCCGTAAGCGCAGCCAGGCTGGACCCCGCGGCTCGCTCCCTGGGGGCACAGCTGTCGTTGCGTTCGTGGTGGACCCATGGGGGTTCAACGGAGTGTCGCCACACGCGCGCCCAGAATCGACTTCGCGGCTCGGTCCCCGGGGGTGCAACCTCCTGCGCAAAAATCGCGGCGCTCGTGGGCTTTTGGGGGTACCGGGCGGAGTGGCGTCGCACGCGCGCCCAGACCAGACCTCGCGGCTTCCTGGGGCCCGTGGTGCCACAGAGGTGCACGCGGAAGAGAAAGCTGCACGTGACGTTGCGCGTGGGCTCGCGGGTGGGGAGAGAAGCGTCCGAACCCTGATGAGCGAACTCCTCCCCCTCAAGGGTCCTTAGGGCGGGGGGGGGTCCAGAACGCATGCCGCGACGACCCTGTGAGAACGATGCTGATGACGGCGACGACGACGACAACAACGACGATGATGTCAATGACGATGGCGAAGATGGAAGTCCTATGCGCTTCGTAGGTGTTTTATACGCGATTCATTTGCATGTCGGATACGCCCGGATTACGTATTGTATACATGTGCGTCCCATGTACTTTTTGTTATCCGTTTCGGATGTGGCTCAGAGACACGTCATCAACGCGTCGTATGCCTTGCGTATACGTTTCTTGTACGCTTCGCATGCGTTTCTGAAACGTTCTGCATACGTTTCGTATGCGTGGCTGCGAATTTCTGGGTACGCGTCTGATGCGTTTCGTACGCGATTGAGGCAACTTTCGTATCAATTCGTAGACACAGCCGTCTTGTAATGCCTTGAGACTATATAAGGCCCTCCTGGAGTATTTGGAACTCGAACATAACAACGCAAGTGATCGGTCTAGATCCCAGCTGCGCACAATGAGCACCGAGTGAGTTTCACTACAGGACCCTGTTCGGTTGTTCATTGTCAATACGATCAAACACTAACAAACGCTTTACGTAGCTGTGTCCGGCGGTTGGGATCTGGACCGTTCCGCTTGGGATCTGACCCCATCGCCTCGCCGGCCCCTCCCAAAGCCCACCAGAACTCCTAGCGACGCCCAAAAACGCCTCGAGTCTCCTCGGCTCGTCGGTTCTTGATCCTACCTCCTCCTCGCTCCTCGATCTCCAGGCGGTGGTGACCCCCCCCTGGTGCCCCCCCATGGCCCCCCCCGAGATGTCGCAGAAGAGGATCGTGACGCGCTGGGCCCCGACGCCGATCTCCGCCTCGACCCTGTCCGCGAAGAGCCGCTGCACCACGGAGGGGGGCACGTAGAGCGACCAAGAGTGGATGGCGCTCTGCATCGAGCCGAAAGCCTGACGGGTACACCCTGCGAAATGCTCAAGAAATCATGGGTTAAGAAATTCACAGTCTCAGAACTTGAATAAAACCCAAAACTTCTATGAAAATCTTGGGATTTACATTGGAAAATTAGGAATAATCGAGACTCTGGACGAAAACTTAGGTTTTCTTAAGCATCGCCTAAGGTGTACGCCGGAGAGCGCGGGGGAACGTTCGGGGGGACCAGCTCGGGGTCTGAGGCCTGATGGCTTCGGACGTTCTCGTTGGTTCTCGGCGGCTTTCCAGCCTCGGGACGCCTGCAAGCGGCTGCGCCTCGCCGAGAGTGTTCCGAGGGGTGCCCAGATCGTCCCGAACGGCCGCCAGAGGCCCAAATTCAAAGGGCCCTGGGGCACACAAATAAGTGCACACAAGTAACAGGACTCCTCATATGTTCTGACATTTTCTGGGTGTTTGTCCTTCCCCCCACTTCCCATATTCTCTTCTATTATCCTGGGGATCGACGATTACTTATGTCTGTGTGTTTTTTCCCCTCCTGGCAAATATCGACCCGAAACAGCTACCAGGAGGGCGACCGAGGGCCCCGGAGAGGCCGAACTCGAGGATAGCCGCCAGTTTGAGGAATGTCGTCGGTGATCAAGTTCTGAGGATGCCGAGCTTCCCCCACCCGAGGAGGAGGAGGAGGAGGAGGAGGAGGAGGAGGAGGAGGAGGAGGAGGGGGAGGAGGAGGAGGAGGAGGAGGAGGAGGAGGAGGAGGAGGAGGAGGAGGAGGAGGGGAGGAGGAGGAAGAGGAGGAGGGGAGGAGGAGGAGAGGAGGAGGAGGAGGAGGAGGAGGAGGAGGAGGAGGAGGAGGAGGAGGAGGAGGAGGAGGAGGAGGAGGAGGAGGAGGAGGAGGAGGCGGAGGAGGAGGAGGAGGCCGCACGCTCCTTATCGGCGCTCCCGCCCGTCCGCCCCTGAGGGGCAACGATGAGGGGGAGCAGCTCAAGGGGGTGGGGGGGAAACATCGAGCCTGCATCGACGATACATCGCCGACAGATCGGCGACCGCGAATCCGCACGCTCCTGGGCTGGGTGGACTCTGCCTGATTCCGCTGTCGGCGATGGATGGGAGATTGGGGGTCGACGCATCACCCCCATGTGCCTATTCCCCCTAACGTTGCCCCTGAAAGAGGGGGCCAGGAAACAAGGCAGGAGAGCCCAGAATCGAATGGACAAGTCGGATGGGCGATCGAAATGAATCGAATCGGCCAAAATCGGCAGCCGAGTCGGAAAAAAACAAATCGGCGGAAATCGGCGGGCTGGTATGCCTCCAATGAGGAATCGGAACCCACACCGGAATCCAAGTCGAATCGAATCGGAATCGGAAGCCATCGATATCGAATCGAATCGAATCGGAATAATCGAATCGAGCCCTGTCACCTGACTTCACCCCTGGCGCCCGATCCCAGTTCCGGCTCCGTGGACACGCGGGCCAGCTCGACGCAGGCTGTGATCGCAATTTTTCCCGACTGGGTGCTGAGTGGTCTTGCCAGCTCGGGGGCGTCCAAGAGAGGGGTAAGGACTGGGGGGGAATGTGGATATGGCCCTCCTCCTCCTCCTCCTCCTCCTCCTCCTCCTATGGCCTCCTTTTTTGTTTCAGTGCGTTCCCTGGCCCACCCCCGTCCGCGCACGTGCCTCGGGCCAAGATGCGCTAGCCCTCCCTTCCTGGCCTCCGCTTCTGCGCCCCCGAGCCTGTGAAATCCATCGGCATCGACTCCGGAGGCCACGACGGACAAATTCGGGCGCTTCTCCGATCCCGGGATGCCCTCACCCAGCCCAGCCAAGGTCCGTCAACGAAACGATCCGGGATACATAGCCGCTGGTCCCGGGGGAGCAGTGGGCCCGTCAACGAAACGATTCGGGATACAAAGCCGCTGGTCCCGGGGGAGCAGTGGGTCCGACTTGCGAAGAGAGTGCGACGTCGGAGGTCTGGGACCGCCGGGGGCGCCGCAGAGGGGGGCCAGCAAGGGGCGGGGGGGGTCGCCGCGTCGTGGCCCGGGGCACGTGCGCGGAGGAGGGGGGCGGGGGCAAGGAGCAACGGACAAGAAGGGGTCATGACGTCTGGGAAATGTGACAGCCCTGGCCCTACTTGACTACCTACCAGACCACCCCAACCCAACCCGAAGACCCGAATTTCGGGTTGGGGGGGGTAAGGGTTCCACATGTGTTTTTTCGATGCTGCCCGACCCCCCCCCACTAGAAATCGAGGGCAAATCTGAGCCTTCGGGTTGGGTTGGGGTGGTTTGGTGGGTGGTGACTACTATCCTCATCCGCCTAGACCCTGGTCCTTTTCCCCCTCTTGGACGCCCCCGAGCTGGCAGGATCAGTCAGAAGCAAATCGGAAGGTCGGATCGGATCGGATCGGAACGTGTATCGGGTCGATTCGGCTGGTGCGGAGTCAGAATCCGGATCTGATCGGCCGCGCCAGGATGCACAACATCGCTGTTCAAGCATCGGTCCCCATCGGGTCGACGGAATCTCGGAACCGAATCGGATCCGGCTGGCCAAAGCCAATGACGAATCGGATCGATCGGATCAAGGTGCTCTGATATCCGTCGCAGCGAGAACATGCAACACCGCGAACAATCACGACAAGAGCCCCCTCGCCCCATCTTTCTGCACCATTTTCCGAGCAAGATCGATCTGGCAGGGTCCTGGGACCCAAAACCTGGGCGAAGACGCCCAGTTCGAAACAACTGAATCGCCTGGATCTCAGGGGGGGCCCCTGCCTTGTTCAGCTGGACCAGCTCGTCCACAACTTCGGACGGGCGGTTCTCGCGCCGGGTGTCCGCGGCGGGAATGTCCCTGAAGTTCTGCAGCAGCTCGAGCGAGGCGAGGCCCTCCATGTCGTCCACCAGCCAGCGCAGGGGCTGCAGGATGGCGCGGGTGAACATGGTGATCTTCCGGTTCACGACGGCGACGAAGAGCAGGAGCAGCGACATGATGCAGAGCATCGTGAAGATGTTCATCAGAGCCCTGCTCCTCTCCTCCAGCAGGCTGTCCACCAGCACCACGCTCGCGGGGAGCCCGCTGTCCGCGCAGTCGGCGTCGGGCCAGCAGGCCTCCGAGAGGTCCTGCACCCGCACGCTCGACCAGTCTATGAGCTCCTGGACCTTCCGCCTGGCCCCGGCGAAGTCCACGGCGGCGGCTGGGCTTGCGCACCCCCCGGGGCCATCGATGTAGGTCCAGCCGTTCAGGTGCAGGTACATGATCCTTCGGTTGAAGGGGTCGGCCCAGTGGTTGTCCGAGTAGTGCCCGATCTGCTCGCACAGGTAGGCCCCGGCAGCGTGCGGGAGGTTCTGGGCCTCGATCCTCGAGAGCACGTCCAGCTGCCTCAGTCCCTGCGAGATGGAGTTGTCCACCACGTCGACCTCCAACAACGTCACGGCCCCGACCAGGATGAGGATGCCGGCGCAGACCTTGATGGTGACCCTGTCGCTGATCTTCCGCGTCAGCGGCCAGACCCCCTCCGCTTTGTCCAGCTCCTCGACATGGCAGCGAAGCAAGTCTTTACCTGTGCAAGACGAGCAGAACGACATGAACATAATTGCATGGAGATCGGTGCTGATTTCTTGGATCCGATTGGATTCCCCCCATTGGCGCGCAGAGCGACCCAGGGGCGGCGCTGGAGGCCGTCAGGGGGGCTCGCGCGGGTCCCAAGGAAACTGAGATTATGCAGTTTGTGATTTTCGAACCTAGCTTCGTGTTCAGCAAGGTTTTGCTGAAGAGGCTCCAGTCGACCATGATGGCATCCTCAAGCTCATCTTCGCTCGCGCATGCACTCAACATCTGGTTGATGGTGATGGCGTCAGCCTTGACCACCTCCGCCCACGGCTTCTTGGAAATGAGCGGGCACGACATCATGATCACAATGTAAACGACCTTGAGGTCAAACGCGGAGATTTTGTTGCAGCCCTTGTCCAGGAACGAGAAAACGCGCCACAACCTCCTGCAGAAGAGTAAGAGACACAAGCACAAACTTTCAGAGGTCCTCGTGGATTTCTCGCATCGGCGCTGGGCCATCCTTCCTGGAACGCGGAACGCGCCAAAACTGGCGCCGCCAGGGGCGTCCTGCCGCCCGGATCAAATCCACGCGGACCTCGGATCCTTGTCATGTGTCCACGACGCTGCACCATACCACGACAGTGTCGCAGGCAACGCACTTCTTCCAAACTTTTATTTGCAAGACTGATACCATACTGTGCACGCTCGGCTGTCGCTAAGTGGTCAAGGAGCTGCGCAAACCCGGCTCGCGCCTAAGTGGCCCAGTATTGCAGCGCTGGCGCTGTTGCACTGGACCGCCAAAAATGTATGTTTGCACATTTTTGTGGTTTCTTCGGAAAACGATGTTTGACGTGGGCCACTCCACACACAGTGTTCAGTGTGTTTGTAACAATATGTGTGCACTACCGGTGGAACAAATCTATATGGTGCAATCTACGTGGTGCGATATATGCGGTGCAATGTTGTTGTGCGATCTCAATGTTGTGCAATATTCGTGGCGTGGCCTATGTGGTACACTTGATCTGGAAAAGCATGGAATTGCCAACTCCACCGCTCCCACGCGCATCCCACCCACCCACCCGCAACTTGGCTTGACAAAAACACATGCGGCGGCGATTGCGATGAGTGCTTGGCGCTGGCTGGTGCATCTCCGCGGCCGCGCTAGCCCGCGCATGCTCGTGCGCGCAGCGGTCAATCAACTTGGCGCGCTGTGACCGCTGGGCATCCCCCAGCGAGTGCCGCAGGCCGCGCTGACGCGCGGGCACTTCAGTGCGAGTCGGTGCTTTGGGCGGGCGCGGCACCTCGGCGACGTCGACAAGGAATAGACACGATGATGCCAGCAACGATGGTTGTACTCCCCAACAGACCGGTGGCACTGACGAGATGTCAACGTCCATGAAACAACCTTCCAACACTGCATCGGCAATGTGCGACCGCGGGCCCGCACCTTACCATCCAAAGTGCATATCAGCCAGCGTTGGCTCCAAATAGATTGGAGGACAGGACGAGAGGAGGATGGGAGGAGGACGAAAGGAGAACGGGAGCAGGACGGGAGGAGCAAAATCAAGCAAGCGCAAGCAAGCAAGCGGAAGCAAGCACGCGCAAGCGAGCAATCACATGCAAGCAAGAGCCAGCGATCAAGTGCAAGCAAGCAAGGGCAAGCAAGAGCAAGCAGGAGAGAGCAAGCACGCAAGAGCAAGCAAGCAAGTACCATTGGAAAAAGGGGAGGAGCGCTCAGAGGTGGTGCGTAGGCATAGGCATAGGCATAGGCATTAGCGTAGGCTTAGGAGTTTGGGGGGAAACATAGGCATAGGCATAGGCATAGCCGTACGAATTCGGGGGGCGGGCCAATTAGTAGGGTTCGAGCGCAGACTCCTATAGGGCAGGCCTGTCTGGAGAAACTCCCGTGTGCGAGGTGCTGCCCGCGCATGGAAGGGCGGAAAGACGGGGGGCGATCAGCAACTCTGCCAGCGACCACGCCTGGGGGGCGCCCCCGCAGCCCCCGTGGCCGAGGAGGGGTCGGGGCAGGGCGGCAGTCCTCGTGTTCCGTCGGACGTCGCCGGCTCGCAGAGGGGGGCGAAGACAAGCGGTGGCTCCGCGCAGCCCCGCGCGCGCCATGTCGCCAGCGCGCCTGCGTCGTGCGACCCGCAACTGCCAGCAGGCCCGGGCGCGACCCGCGGACGTCTGCCTGCCTGCTCCGACCGACAGACAAGGCCGCAGAAGAGCAGCTCTCGGGGGGGGCCGGCCGCAGAGGCACGCACCTGCTGCGGCGCCGCGGGGGCGCGATGCAGAGAAGGGCGCGATGGGGGGCAGGCATGTGGACGGACGCAGAAGAGAAAGGGCAGCCATGGGCTGCCAAAGGGGGCGGGCCAGGCGAGAGACCCCACCGAACGCTGCAGCGCGCAGGCAGCCGCGCAAGACCGCACCGGCTCGGCAGCAGAGCCGCGCGCAGGAGCGCGCGCGGCAGCGGCTGCAACCACGGGGACACGCACACGCGAAGCAGGGCGGCAGGCGCGGGGGCGCGCGAGGCGCAGAGAAAGCACTAACGAAAGCACCAACAACGCAAGCAACCCAACCTGCGGCGCGCAGGAAGGACGGACACCGCGCGGTCGCACTGGCAGTGTTGCCCGAGGCCTGATTGCGAACATCTGTTGTCCTGCCACGAGGAGATGATCGGCGCGCGTCTCATTCGGTGTCGCCAGATCGACGGACGCGCCGCAGAAGATCGGGAGGAGAGAGAGAGAGAGAGAGAGGGAGAGTGATATATATATATAGAGATAGAGAGAGAGAGAGAGAGAGAGAGAGAGAGAGAGAGAGAGAGCGAGAGAAAGAGAGAGAGAGAGAGAGAGAACGAGAGAGAGAGAGAGAACAAACAAACAAAAACAAACAAAAACCCGGGAGAGAGAGAGAGAGAGAGGGAAAGAGAGAGAGAGAGAGAGACGGGAAAAAGAGAGAGAGAGAGACAGAGATAGAGAGGTAGAGGAGAGAGAGAGAGAGAGAGAGGCCCCCTGACCAGGAAGCCCAACCCTTCGGGTGGCGCCCGCGTTGCAATCGCGAGCTGTACCCATCAGTGTCCCAGGGGGGGCAGGGCGCAGCCCTCCCAGAAGCTAGCCTGAACAGGACAGGGCGACATCTAAGAATGCCGGCGCAAACCAAGCGCTGATTCTGGCACGGTGGCGGGGGCGCGGGAAGCAGACGCCTTGCCCGAGACCGTTCGCCAAAACGGTGAGCGAGGCAATGGGCGAGAGCTACGCTCGGCCGGCGGATTTGACGACGTGCCGCGCGCTGTTCCAAAGGATCCATTGCGCCCTCCACTCCGCAGTTTCAGAGGCAACGAGCAGGGCCGCAACGCGAGCGAGCACTGGCGCAGACCCCATCGAGCAAGGACGCGGAGGACAACCAGTCCCAGATGATAGCTACTACCTTTGACAACCTCACGGGCTACCTGAACGACGCCTGCAATTGAGAGACATGCCCCAGGGAGCTGGCGGGCGACGCGCGTCACGACACACCCGAAATGGGCAATGGGGAAGGGGGGGGTGGGGGGTGGGCGCGTCCTCAGATGGCGGCGCGGCTTCGCTGCGAACCCGCCCGCTTGTAGACGTGTCGAAGTGGTGGGAATGATGCGCTGCCGAATCACGACCATTGAACGCTCGACAAAGCGATGCCAACACGGCGATCGCGCGCGGCCAGGGTGGAACTGATCTTGGGCCGCAAGGTCCCCGAGAAGAAATTGAACTTTCGAGGAAGCAGCAAGTAGTTCGCGAGACGAACCTAGTCGCCACGTCAATGAACGATCCTCAGCGCGCACATTGCGCGGTGAGAAAAACACAAGGTCGCACCATCAGTTTCTAGTGCATGATGCATTCATATCTGACGCCCCCCTTCGAAGCAGGGTAGATCTGCATCGAGCATCGGAGAAGGGAGACAGCGAGCGGCAACGATATGCGGGCAGTCATTGCATGCCCGATCTCGATCCAGATGTGCTGAGGCCTCCGCATGCCCGTGCTCCCATTAGCGCGCCGTCCACCGGGCCTGATCTGAATCCCCAGATACCTCGCATGACGAACGACTGAGGTGTTCTCTGCCACATCTCCAAAATATTCCGAGGTGCTAGAAACATGCCGAACCTTTCGGGGACACGCGGCAAGGCCGCAGTGCACCAGCACGCCCGGCGCAACTGCGAAGAGATGCAGGCTACACCCTGCGATATGCTTAAGAAATCATGGGTTAAGAAATTCAGAGTCTCAGAATTTGAATAAAAACCCAACATTTCTATCAAAATCTTAGGATTTACATTGAAACGTTAAGAATAATCGAGACTCTGGCCGAAAACTTAAGTTTTCTTAAGCATCGCCTAGGGTGTACATGGGGCTCCTGGGCGGACTCTCCTTCTGGAGCTCGACGCAAACGAGGTCGCTCGTCGCCGAAGCACGCGATCGCAGAATTCTCCGGCGAGTTCCCCGAAGACACCCGACATCCCAAAGGTGGCTCCGCGACGAGGCCAGCGGGGCCCGAAAAAAAGCCGGGCCATCGCAGGGCTGGGGGGCGCCGCGGCCGAACCGGTGAGGAGCGTGCGCGAAAAATCCCCCCCCCACCCACTCGCGCGCTGTTTGAAGGGGCCCTAGGGCACGCAAATAAATACGCAGAAATAAGAGGATGCCCCATATTTTCTTATATGTTCTGGGTTTTTGTCTTCCCCACCACTTCCCATATTTTCCCATATTTTCTGGGGAATCGACGATTCATTGTGTCTGTGTGTCTCTTTCCCTCCTGACTGTTGCAGCCCCCAAGCTTCGACCTCCAAAAATCTGACTAATCATCGACCGCCCTCCCAGGCATGCCTGGGCCCTGGGAACCGAATCGCGGGCTGCCCATGCCAACCTCCAAGAGAACGCGGTCGACGTGATCCTGCACTCCGCGTCGGCCATGGCAGGTGGGCGGCAGACATTGGGAGAAAGAAGCGTAGGATAATTCAAACCCGTGGGATGGCTGGCCACCCGTCAGAGAAAAACCCGAAGCACCACCCGCGCGGCGGCGGGCAGCCCCCCCCCCCCCCCTCCTCTCAAAAAGGAGACGGCAAAGATCGTGGAGGACGGCGATGGGGGCGACGCATTTCCAGCGAAAGTGCGCCATTCCATCTGGGCCAAGTGTTAATCTTTCCGACCGTAACTCTTTTCTCGAAACCATTGAAATCCACAAGCCACCGATCCATTGCGACCCCATGAGAAGCTTGCCATCCTTGCCTTCCAGGCCGAGCCAACCGATTTCATCGCATTCGTGCATCCCAGAAATACCTTCCCAGCGCCGCGCAAGCGCCCTCGCCCCCCCCCCTCCACCCTTCCCCCGCAACCATCAAGGGACAGGCCGGGGGGCCCCCGCGGTGCCAATAATGGGGCGCAAAGAGATCC